TATGCGCATGCGCAATAAAACTTAAATTTTTTTAAATAGCATCACCTATTTTGAACACCAGATTTTGATAGAACTATTTTTTTCAAGCAACTTTGATATGCAAACTTTTTTCTTATCTCAAAAATTGACAAAATCACAGCAGTCCTAAGTTTAAATAAAAAAAAAAATGTTGTTAAATTGTTCAATGTTCTGTATTTTATCATTTTATTATTATTTTTAGTTGGAAGCATAATAAATGGAAGGGCATGTGTTTAGAGGTTATTTAAATAAATTTACATTTTATTTTATAATAAAGTTTAAATTTAATTTCAATTATTTTTAAACATTTWATTACAAGTAATACAAATCACCTTATAAATTGTTCGAAGTTTTCTCTGTTGTTAAGTAAACATAATTGTAAGCAGTGTTTGACTTCGTCTTGAGAAGCTGTCATTWTTTGTTCCTTAGTCAGTCTTGTGCATGCTTCGGTGATATTTTGTTTTAAATGCCGAAGGTTAATTAAAAGAAAACTTCAAACAATTTATAAGGTGATTTGTATTATTTGTAATAAAATGTTTAAAAATAATTGAAATTAAATTTAAACTTTATTATAAAATAAAATGTAAATTTGTTTAAATAACCTCTAAACACATGCCCTTCCATTTATTATGCTTCCAACCAAAAATAATAATAAAATGATAAAATACAGAACATTGAACAATTTAACAAAAATTTGTTTTTAATTTAAACTTAGGACTGCTGTGATTTAGTCAATTTTTGAGATAGGAAAAAAGTTTGTTTATCAAAGTTGCTTAAAAAAAATAGTTCTATCGAAAATAGGTGTTGCTATTTAAAAAAAATTAAGTTTAATTGCGCATGTGCAATAACATAATTAAAAATTCAAAAATGATCACAAAATGTGTATATTAGTATTCCCTAGTTCCTCGAAAAAAAAATCCCAATTCAATCCATGGTCACTGAACAGGAATATTTCGTGTTAAATGTATAACACATATTTACATGTATAATATATATATATATTATTGTTAATTATAAACTTGTATATTTACTGATGTTGACAGTGTATTTGAAAAAAAGATTGTTTTATACTTATAACTCCTAAAACACCTCATTATGAAGATAATGCTCTTTTTATAGATTACCTACAATATGTGAACCATTCTAGTGTTAGATAATAGTATGATAGTGTGTTAATTGTTGTTATTTTATTTACAGGTGAAGGATTTAGTGTTTGAATATATTATGGAATGTGTCCATTAAGAATGTTTGGAAAAAAAAGTTTCAAAAGTTTAATTATAGGACTTACTGGATCAAATGATGATATTGTTCCAAGTAGAAAACAGTTATCAAAACAATTGGATTTAAAATATGAACTAAATGTTTCAATGCTAACTAATTTAATAGCAAAACATGATTATATTTGTGCAATAGTTGATATACGGAGTACCAATAACTGAAGTTTTATGGGTATACACTACTTTTTTTACACACTATTAATATTGATTATTTTATAATAAGTTATGATTCATTTGTAGGATTGACTTCTCACATCATAGGCGAAGAAACATATTTTTTCCATTCTTCTGCCATTGGTTGTATACCTATTAAAGGAAGCCATAACTATCAAAATATTACTAAAGTTATAACCAAAATTACAAAAAGAACAATATTTATTTATCATACGTATATTGTGATAAATGATGCTTATAACTTTGGTATAGCATTCAGAGTGTTCCCTTCTTTTGCAACTCATGAAGCAAATACAAGTGATTTGGGTAATTTTTTGGTATAAGCTGTTAAATCGTTGAATTAATGTGAATTAAATGTACACACTCAAAATTATATAAATAATTAGGAAGTGTTCATTATTGAAACCACAGTGTATAGACTGATGTGGAGTGAGGTATACACATTATTTCGCGTATGGTGAGTCATTCCCTCACCATATATATATATATATATATGTATAAATTATTTAATACTACGTAACATCTCTTTCCTTACAAATAAATTTTGATTTTCTATGCAAACTGTAATATAATTTTGAGCATTTAACTTTATTATTAGTTTATGACTTACATTTGTAATATAACTTTATTACTACGTTTATATGATGACATTAAAATGGTTTAAAAAATGTAAACCGTTTTAAAAGTTAAAACACTTTTACATACTATGTAGTTCAAGAATTTTAAACCTATTTAATTGTTAACTGTTTAAATGCCATCATATAAACGCAGTACATACTTACAATAATATAATGTGCTGTAAAAATTGTTATATTATTACTAACTACAACTTTTATTTTTATGAAAGCAAAATTTA